TCATTTTTATGGTATTAGGGACTAATCGTTCCCTGGGGTCTACAGGCAATATATAACTGTGCTGGGCTCTGAGCTCATAAGCCGCAGCTCTGCTCTGAACAATAATACAGTAAAATTACAGGGGGAAAGTTTACCTTCTACTCCAGGTCTTTTCTACATTCGGCATAGAAACAGCTGATGTTTCTGTGCAATGGTCCTTCCACCCAGTCCAGCTTGCCCAGTGCCCTAGTCTGTTTGGCAGACTGGGGCACAGTCGACGAAGGGGCTCCAGCCCCAGAGTGCCTTCAGGACCTCATCAGCAGCCTGATGCCACAGCAAAACCACCAAGTGGTATGTTCAAAAAGCATCTATAATAAATAAGCACTCCAATTCCACCTACAAGTTCAGCTGGGAAATAATGGAAATACGGACAGAGCATCTCCTGTTATGGGTCAGGTCTCAGGCCCATTGCTATTCTGCTCCCCATGATGACCTCCAGCTGAAGTTATCAACTTCAAGAAACTCCCACATGTGGGATTCACCAAAAGACTAGAGCCTGCCCTTAAATTCTTGGTTTTACTACCTTGGAGAGAGAAACTGAGCAACTTGCCTTATTTGTCCCCTCTGAAATGCTTAGCAGGTCAGATCCATAGCATGCTGGACAGACGACCACCCACAAATGCAGATATACCTCATACAGGAGAGACAGAGAAAGAGAAGGCCACAAAAGGTTAGCTTACAGGGAAGGGTATAGCCAAGGCCAGACTGATCGCTCAGAAAGTGGTCGCTATGAAAAAACAATCTCTGTGCCCATTTCCCCTCCCAGCATCTCTTACCAATTTAGAGCTTAAGCAATTTGGACCAGAGTATCTTCCACTATACATATGTACAGCTCCAGACACAACTGAAGTCCGATTTCCATTGGGGACTACCATGAGACACCACCATCATGCAGATAATGCCAGCAGCCTCCATACCACTGCATCGGAGACAGAGCTCTCTCCGTTCAGCAGTGCTGTTCTTACTCCTGCAAGTATTACCGCACCTTCAACAGGTCCATCCACGAGAAAAAGGGCTGCAGAAATGGCTGGTGGCTCAGATACACGTGTGTAATTACATATAAGGGCACATACTGACTTTTAATAACAACCACTTGGGATGAATATGGACTGTACAGGCTCATTTGCTAAAGGGGATAATTGCACCAAGGTGATTTGCTCTCAAATCCTAGGTCTACATTTTGTTACAATAGTCCCAAACCAGCCAGCCTTCTGAGCAGGGAACTCACAATTCATTACTTAGTCGGGTTTGTGGCATCAAACCCTATTTTTTTGGTTCTCTAGAGTGCTATTCACACCTCCTCCAATGCATAAAGGCATGAGTGAAAGGATCACCAGAGTTTGCTTATGAGTGCAAATAATATTTATATATATGTGCTAAACACAGTCACTATATTGCAGTTTTCCACTATGTCACAGCATACAGAATCAAAGGTTTGCATTTTTATGGAATGTATCCAAGGTAACAGCACCACAGTAATACAGTTTGTAATCACACACCCTGATTTTTTTTTTGACAAGATAAGCGTTTTTCCCCCACACCCCAAGTTTAAGTTTTTTTAAAGTACCAACGCATGCAAAGCATTCCATTCCCAGAAACAATGCAAAAATGAGGTAATAGGAGTAATAAAAAAAATTAGTATTAATTTCTAAATAAATAAATTATAATTAAAAATGCAAAAAACAACTATAAAAATAATTAAATAAGAACCCACAATATCTACAAGTTAGTCATAAATTATGATTGTTAAATATAAGGCATTTAAACTCACAAAACCCTGTAAACTATCAATGTCTTATTTCTAGAGATATTTCTGTTTTGTTTTTAAATCAAATCTCATTCTACTCATAGAAATTATTTAAAACTGGAGGGAACCTGACACACCAAATGCAACTTCAAGCATTACAAGCTCTCGCGCGCGACTACATCACTCATTCACACAAGACCACGGGAGTTTGGTGCTTACTTCACCGTTTTAAAAACTGTGCTTGTTCATTAG